CTCTGGGAAAACTGTTTGCTCACTCCATTCCTCTTATCCCAGAGAGAGGAACTTTTTCCAGCTGGGGAGCTTCCTCTTGGTGCTGGGCAATGCCAACTTGGGGGATGGGGTAATGCAGACAAATGGAAACTATTCTTCCTCCCCTTTTTGTGCAGTTATTCTCAAGGTTTTTTGTTACATTGTGTTGCTGAATTTTTTCAAGTGGATTTGAAAGTTCTCCCAGAGCTCTTCTTGTTCATTAATAACAGTCTGCTTGTTAACTTTGTAGTGGAATGGAAACGGGGTCTCCTATTTGCCATCTTGGTGATGTCGCTCTAACTTACTAATAATATACAGGCATACTTCATTTTAGTGCACTGTGCTTTATTATGCTTCACAGATATCATGTTTCGTTTTGCTTTTTAAAAATTAAAGGTCTGTGGCAACTTCGTGCCAAGCAAATTTGTCAGAACCATTTTCCCAACAGCATTTGATCACTTCGTCTCTGTATCACATTTTGATAATTCTTGCATTATTTCAAACTTTTTCATTATTATTATGTTTATTTTGATGATCTGTGATCAGTGATCTTTGATGTTACTACAAGTATTGTAATTGTTTTGGGAATCCACACACCACATCCATATAAGATAGTGAACTTAATCAATAAATGTTGAGTGTGTTTTGACTGCTCTACAGGCAAGCCATTTCCTCATTTCTTCCCTCTCCTCATACTTCCCTATTCCCTGAGACTTGACAATATTGAAATTAGTCCAATTATTAGCACTACGATGACTTCTAAATATTCGGGTGAAAGGAGTCACATGCCTTCCACTTTGAATCAAGAGTTAGCAATGATTAAGCTTAGTGAGGAAGGCACGCCAAAAGCCAAGACAGGCTGAAAACTGGGCCTCTTGTGCCAAAAAGTTAGCCAAGTTGTAAATGCAAAGGAAAACTTCTTGAAAGAAATTAAAAGTTTTACTACAGTGAACACGCAAATGATAAGAAAGTGAAACAGCCTTATTGCTGAAATGCAGAAAGTTTTAGTGGTCTGGAGAAGATCAAATCACCCACAACATTCTCTTAAACCAAAACTTAATCCAGAGCAAGTCCCTAACTCAATGCTTTGAAGGCTGAGAGGTGAGCAAGCTGCAGAAGAAAAGTTTGAAACTATCAGAGGTTGGTTCATGAGGTTTAATGAAAAAAACAGTCTCCATAACATAAAATTGTAAAGTGAAGCAGCAAATTCTGATGTAAAGCTGCAGCAAGTTATCCAGAAGATCTGGCTAAAATAATTAATGATATACTAAAAAACAGATTTTCAATGTTGCTGCGACCTGCACGACTAGAGGGTTAACCTGAGGGAGGGTGACGGAGGATTAAGAAAAACACAGAGACATATTATAGGAAAAATTGAGGCCAGGTAGAACACTACACTCTGAAGGAGATACAGTGACTTTGAGACAAGCTCAGTGCATTTATTATATACACCTAAAGGTCAAGGAGGAGGTGGAAGTCTTCTTCTCAGGACTCGGAACTTGCTGGCAACAATAATCTCCTGAAGGCCTGTCTGTACCCGGTTATCTGTGCTAAATCACAAGCAGCCCTCTGTTCTTTGTTTGCTTCTCTGCCCTTGGCAGATTGCAACACAGTCAAGCATGGCTCACATCTGGCTCTCTACACAATGTAGATGAAACAACCTGATATTGGAAGAAGATGCCATCTAGGACTTTCATAGCTAAAGAAGAGAAATGCCTTGCTTTAAAGCCTCAAAAGACAAGTTGAATTTCTTGTTAGGGGCTAAGGAGCTGGTGACTGAGTTGAAGCCAGTGCTCATTCATCATTCCAAAAATTCTAGGGCCCTTAATAATTATGCTTCATCTACTCTGCCTGTGCTCTGTAAATTTAAACAACAAAGCCTGGATGACAGCACATCTGTTTACAACATGATTAACTAAATAATTTAAGCCCACTGTTGAGAACTACTACTCAGAAAAAAAGATTCCTTTGAAAATATTACTGCTCATTGACAATGCACCTGGTCACCCAAGAGCTCTGATGGAGATGTACGATGAGATTAATGTTGTTTTCATGACTGCTAATACAACATTTATTCTACAGCCCATGGATTAAAGAGTAATTGTGATTTTCAAGTCTTATTATTTAAGAAATGTATTTCATAGGTTATAGTTGCCATAGATAGTGATTCCCCTAATGGATCTGGGCAAAGCTAATTGAAAACCTTCTGGAAAGGATTCTCTCTATCCTAGATACCATTAAGAACATTCATGATTCATAGGAAGAGGTCAAAATATCAACGTTAATAGGAGTTTAAAAGAAGTTAGATCCAACTCTCGTGGACTACTTTGAGAGGTTTAAGACTTCAGTGGAGGGAGTAACTACAGATGTGGTGGAAATAGCAAGAGAACTAAATTTAGAAATGGAGCACGAAGATGTTATTGAGTTGCTCTAATCAAGCTTTAACAGATGAGAAGTTGCTTCTTATAGATGAGCAAAGAATGTTTTGTTTTGTTTTGTTTTTTTCAGATTGAATCTACTCCTGGTGAAGATGCTGTGAAGAGTGTTGAAATGACAACAAAGGATTTAGAATATTACATAAATTTAGTTGATAAAGCAATGGCAGAGTTTGAGAGGATTGACTCCAATTTTAAAAGAAGTTCTTGTGTGGGTAAAATGCTATCAAACAGCACCGATGCTGCAGAGAAATTGTCCATGAAAGAAGAGTCAATCGGTACAGCAAACTTTATTGCTGTCTTATTTTAAGAAATTGCCATAGCCAACCCAACCTTCAACAATCATCACTTTGATTAATCAGCAGCCATCAACATGGAGGGAAGACTCTCCATCAGCAAAAAGATTACAACTCACCGAAGACTCAGATGATGGTTAGCATTTTTTAGCAATAAGGCATTTTTTAATTAAGGTATATACATTTTTAGACATAATGCTATTGCATATTTATAGACTACAGTATAGTGTAAATATCACTTTTTATGTGTACTGAGAAACCAACAAGTTTATGTGACTTACTTTATTGTGACATTTGCTTTATTGTAGTGGTCTGGATCTCAACCCACAATATCTCTAAGGTATGCCTGTATCGTTAAGGATTTTTTCACCAATATTCATGAGGGATGTTGGTCTTTGCATACGATGTCTTTATTTGCCATTATTTCAAAGAACACTGGCCTAAATGATGTGGGACATGTTATTTCTGTCTATATGTTCTGAAAGAGATTGTAAGTGATTGGGATTATTTCTTCATTTAATATTTGATGAAATTTACCAGTTGAGTCATTGGAATTTAGACTTCATTCCTGAAAGTGTTTTAATTACTAATTTAATTTTCTTACTTGTTATAAATCTGTTGAGATTTTCTACTTGTTTTTGAGTCAGCTTTGGAACTTGGATCTTAGAATTTGTCTATATCTTATAAATAATCTAGTTTGTGGCATATAGTTGTTCATAATATTGCCTTATAATCCTTTAATTTCTATATATATGGTAATGATGGCCCTTATTTATTTATGTTTTTGAGAAATTCTATCATTTTCTTAGGAACTCTAGCTAAAGGATTGTCAATTTTGTCGAAGAGCCCATTTCTGGTTTTATTAATTTTTCTGTTTTGTATGTCATTGACATCTGTCCCGACCTTTATTATTTTCTTCCTCTCATTTGTTTTAAGTTTAGTTGGCTTAATAGCAAACTTCCTTAATTGCTTCCTAATTCTATTTTTATAAAATGACTCTCTTAGCAATGCTTATTTCCTCCATTATCACATCCATAGTTATAGGATGCTTCAGGAATACTACCCCTATTTTTAAAGACCCATTTATTAGGCTCCCCTCAAGTTGTTATGGCGCGAATGATTCTGAGACCCACGGAGCCAATTGAGATTAATTATGAGCCTTTATTAGCCTGCCGGCGACTGACTCTCTACCACGCAGGGTTAGAGGAGATCAGCCCCGAGCTTCCACAGGAGGCAGCTTGAAAGCCTCCTACTACATCCTTGAATAAGCAGATTACAAGAAGCAGAAGTTAGCCGTTAACATTTTGTACAAAGATAAATGTTGCACTTCCAAGGAACTCTCAGATCAAACAGGGCCTAGTAGACAGTTTTATCATCTGCACCTTGGAATGTTGCGCTTCTCCCTGGGGACTGGCGCCTGGAGAGATCACCTCCCTGAAACTGGAGAATTTCCACTTTTACAAAGTGTTGCGTTGTTTTTTCACAATTGACACCCGTTTCTTGAAGGGACCCTAATAGGCATCCAAAACAACCCTAATCAGAAATTCCATTGGGGTTTAGGAATTTCAATTTTTTGTGCGTGTGATGTTTCTATCCTAGCATCTAGAATGGTATCTATTACACAACAAGTTTTTAATAAATATTTGTTGAATAAATATATGTATGACGACTTTCCGTTTGTGATCTGGTGAAGTCTATTATGATTTAATGTAGTTTGACAAAACTCCTTGTGGGTCTCTGGGGTCACCAGGATGAGGCTCAGGGGTTAGTGGGTCCATTGGTTGTAAAGGAAGAGCGAAGGTCCCAGGTTGAAATATTATAAAATTTTAATTTTACAACTATATAACTTAAAGCCTAACTACTTCGATCATCATGCCTGCTTTTACGGTTATTTTTTTTTTCTAAATAACTCCCTTAATAACTTCATATCCAACCGAAACGCAAATTTTCCCAATTTTCTCCAAATTACTTATGAAAAATAAATGCTGTTATTTCAGTCCGGGGCCAATAGAGGACCACCCTTTGCATTTGCTGGGAGAGTTCAAGTTTAAATCTTAACCTCCTCTGGCTCTGAAAGAACCTGGGCAGGAGCTATCTAAGGAAATCATCCTCCAGCTTTCAAAATGCAAAAAGGCCATACGACCGTGATTTCAAAAGAGGACGCTGAGGTCTACTGGGAAATGTAGTCTTGAATCGTTCACCGCGCGGCACTCTGGGAAGGGGATTCTGGGCTCCTTTTGCGCAAGTGCAGTTGTAGCCCCGCCTCCTCAATCGACTTCTCTGCACTTCTGGGAAGCGGTTTGGGAACCTGCTGGTCTGCTCGGAAAGTAAAGGGTGCGCATCTGGGGCAAGAGCGGGGTGACTAGCTGGGTGGAGTGCGCTTGTGCCTAGGGTTGGGAGCGAGAAGTCCTTGGCACCCCCACCCTGACGCCCCCAAGGCTGGTGTATGCGCCTGGGAGGGCCCTCGGCCCGGGGGAGGCCGGGAAGGGTGTGTGGGGGCGGGGGATGAGGAAGGGTTCGGAGCGCTCGGGCTCCCGGGGCGCTTGCCAGACTGAATCCGGTCAGGAGCAGGTGCTCGCTGCGGGCTGGAGTATGCAGGAAACTTGTGCCCGGCCCATAATGCAGCCAGACCGGAGAAAATCCCATGTCGGCTACAGAAGGAAAAGCGCGTTTATAATGTTGATCCTGAGCGTGCCAGAAAGCGCAGGCGGTGGGTCTGCGGTGAGAGCCCAAGTTCAGGAACCAAAAAGACTCGGTATTTGTAAATTTCAGCTGTCACCTGTAGGCACGGACGACAGAAGGAACCTGATGAAAGTCAGTTATCTGAAAATGAGGATTTTAATGACCGTTTCATGGTTATTTTGAAACTTAGATCTAAGTCATAACTCGTAGAGGGTTTAGGCAAGTGCCAGGTAAGCACTGAATAAGTGACAACTGCTATTACATTTAAAAGACCCTTTGCTCTGTTCTTTTCATTGGATAGTTTAATGTAACCTCACACCCACTTTAACAAACACGGAGGCTCAAGTTGGGGGAGCCTTGTCCTCAGTCTTGACCTCTGATTGAAGGGCCAATGTGCTTTACAAACATATCTTGGAGATATTGCCGGTTTAGTTCCAAATCACTGCAGTAAAGTGAGTGGTAGTGTTTTTCTGGTGGAGGGCCTTGCATTTAGTTTGTAAAAAAACACAATATCTGTGAAGTCCAATTAAATGAGATATCCCTGTAGTTACAGTCTCAGGCTTTGTTTAGGTATGACACCTGCCTAAAACCAGCATTGCATCCTTTAGGCGTTTAGCAAAGTGACCTGTCCCCTAATACCCAAGGATATAAGGGAATGTGAACATAGATAGAATCCTACCACATGTCATATGTATTATGGGATTCTAGTGTCTCTTCAGATTCCATAGGTCAGACAGGTTCTTGGTCCCATTGCACTGTCAGGCTATCTTAAGTCTGATATTATAAATTCTGAGAGTCCGTTTTGTTTCTCAGGTCTACATCCTGGTTCCCTCGAAACAAAGAAACCGTTGTAAGAAGAAGGGGGCCTCTGTGAACAGAAGTCTTACCAGGAAGAGAGCACCCCTTTGACCTTAGACCTCTCTGCAGACCTTCAGAGCAGAGGCAAAAGAGCCCAGAAAGAAGCAGACCCTAGATTTGCAAGGCCGAGAATGAGTTAATCTTGGTGATGACACCACCTTGAGAAGCCATCATACTGTGTGAACAGTGGGGGTTGGGGCCAGCCTTGAGAGGAACGAGGTAAGCTGGGGTGACCAAGGGGTGGGCTGCTCAAGAAGGGCTGCTTCATTGGAGAGCTTGTGAGAGCAAGGTCTGGGGGTAAGGGGTAAGTAGACAGAGGGAGGAGATTCTGTCTCCACTCTCCCTAAACAGCCCCCACTCTTTACAGATGCTGTGCTGCTGTCACACATGTCCATCACATGTGACGCTACTGACATTATTCTGACTTCACAGAATTCCAGAATGATGATTCGTAAAGAGTTTTTCCAAGACTACAATTTCTGAATCTTGGAGGCTTTAAAGACATTCGGCCTGAAAGGTCCAGTGACTTGTCCAGAGTAATCCAGTTTGTTTGTGACAGAGTCAGGAGGAAAACATTGCTCTTCTCTCTCCCACAAGTAAGTCACCAAAAGCATCTTATAAAAAGGACGTTTTGATCATCAAAGCTGAAACAAACAATTAAAAATCCTGCCTTAAAGCATTCCATCTCTTTGCTAGGCTTTCTGTGAATTGTCTATACCGGGAGTAAATAATATCACTGAGAAAAATAGGTAAGTAATGCTTACTGAGTATTTTTCTGTAAGTTAATCTTTAAGAATAGTGTCCTTTGGTGTAATTTAATTCAACTAATCTGTTTTTACTCTTTTGTGTTAGTCAGGACACATGCATTATTGTCATTCGAGAAAAGTTTATGTTTTTATTCAGTAAAAAGCTGAAGATTTAAGCCCAGTGATCATTTCAGAGTCGCATAAAGATCCTTCCTATGCCTTTTCAAAGTCCAGAGGGTGTATGTTTAATAGAGAGGCTGAATACCAACTAGAGTAATATTTGAGGAGGTGAATCTAGGAGCTGTAAGGCGGGCCAAATCTTGTGATCTCTGTCTTCTTTCTGTCCCTTCAGCTGAACTCCAGTTCACTACACTCTCCCAAGAGCTAAAGAAAATGAACATAACTCAGGTGAGCTCTTTTTTCATTCCCCATGTGTTACACGGAAAAAGAGAAATAGAACTAGATCAAGTTAATCTTGAGGGAAAATAAGCAGTTTTACCATTAACCTTGGTATTGCTGTCAGCTCTTGGTTAGTACTTTTTGTCAGAGTAACTAGATTTCTGAAGGGTGCTAGTTTGCTAAGATTTCATGTTAGTCATGAATGTGCATTGAATTATATTGAATACTATTTGTGTATCTATTGAAATAGCTATTGCTTATTTCCTTTATAAATATTATAAACAATATATTGAGTTTTCTAATAGTAACTTGAATTCTTAGTTGCTAATAGGGTGCTAAGTTGCTTCTTACAGATTTTCCTAAGGTTTTCTGCTGATACTATAGGATTTTTTTTTCTATAGCCACAAGTTGGATTGGACTATACATTTTTTTTATGATTGACATATGACATTGCATAAGTTTAAGGTGTACATACAAGGTGTTGGTTTGATTCATTTATATATGCAGTATGATCACTGCAGTAACATCAGCTAAGACCTTTATCACGTCACATATTTATATTTTTTGTGTCTGTTGAGGACAGTTAAGAATTAGTCTGTTAGTAACTAACATTTATAATACAGTATTGTTGACTATAATCACTATGTTGTGCATTAGCTCTCCAGAACTTATTTATCTACTAGTTGTAAGTTTTAGACTGTGCTTTCTTATTTCCTTGTTCAATTGTGAAATCATGGTCTTAGTCTCAAAAGGAAGTAGGTGCTTTCCTGCTCCTTTTATAATAATTTACATGAGAAAGTTGTGTGACATGTAGATTCTGTGAAACTCACCTATAAATTTGGGCTTTGCGAAGATATTGTGCATGAACATTTTGATTATTAATTTAGTAGTGTTTACTAGATGTGTATTTTTTCTTAGTCTAACTTTTGTCATTACATTTTCATGGAAAATTATTCATTTTTATTTCATTTTAAAATATATTTTATAAGCTTTTTAAATTAAATTTATTGGGGGCAATATCAGTTAATAAAATTATATTGGTTTCAAGTGTACAGTTTAATAATACATCATCTGTATATTGCATTGTATGTTCATCACGCAAAGTTGGATCTCCTTCCGTCACCATATATTTGACTCCCTCTACCCTGTCTGCCCTCCCTCTCTTCCTCCCCCGCCCCACCTTTCCCTCTGGTAACCACTAAACTGTTGTCTGCGTTAATGACTTTTTGTTTGTTTGTCTTGTTCATTTGTTGCTTTCAGATTTATATCCCATATATGAGTGAAATCATATGGTCTCAATTTTTCTGTCTGGCTTATTTCACTTAGCACAATAATCTCAAGATCCATCCATGTTGTTGAAAATAGCAGTGTTTCATCTTTTCTTATGATTGAATAATATTCCATTATATCAATGTACCACATCTTCTTTATCCAGTCATCTATTGAAGGATGCTTCAGTTGTTTCTACATCTTGGCCACTATGTGTAATTGAGTAATGCTGCAGTGAACAACAGAGTGCATATTATCTTTACAGATAAATGTTTTCAAATTTTGGGGGTAGATAGAAAAGGAATTGCTTTTGGTCATATGGTAATTCTATTCTTAGTTTTTTGAGGAACCTCCATACTGCTTTCCATAGTGGCTGTACCAGTTTACATTCCACCAGCAGTGTATAATGGTTCCTTTTTTCCAACAACCTCTTCAACACTTGTTATTACTTGTCTTGTTGATAATAGCCATTCATACAGGTGTGAGGTGGTATCATTGTGGTTTTGATTTGTATTTTCATAATAGCTAGTGAATGAGCATGCTTTCCTATGTCTGTTGTCCCTTTTTATGTCTTGAGAGAAGTGTCTGTTTAGGTTCTCTGCCTTTTTTTTAACTTTAGCTCCTCATCAGAGGTGTCGTTTGCAAATACCTTCTCCCATTCGGTTGGTTGCCTCTCTGTCTTATTGATAGTTTCTTTTACTGTGCAGAAGTTTTTCAGTTTGATATAGTCCCATTCATTTATTTTTGCTTTTACTTCCCTTGCCTTTGAGGTCAAATTCATAAAATCCCCTCTAAATCGAGGTCCATGAGTTTAGTGCCTGTGTTTTCTTCTACGCAATTTATTGTTTTAGGTTATATATTTAGGTCTTTTATCAATTTTGAGTTAGTTTTGGTGTAAGTGACAGATAGCAGTCTAGTTTCATTCTTTTGCATGTGACTTTCCGGTTTTCCCAGCACCATTTATTGAAGAGGCTTTTTCTCCATTGTATGTTTTTTGGCTCCTTTGTTAAAAATTATTTGCCTATGTTATGTGGATTTATTTCTGGGCTCTCAATTCTGTTCCATTGGTCTGTGTGTTTTTTTCTGCCAATACTATGCTATTTTACTGTGGCTTCGAAATGTAATTTGAAGTCAGGTAGAATGATACTTCTGGCCTTGTTCTTTTTTCTCAGGATTGCTTTGTCTTTTGTGATTCCATACAAATCAGATGATTTTTTAATTCTTTTCTTTAAAAAAATGTCATTGGGATTTTGATGGGGAATGCATTAAATCTATATATTGCTTCGGCCATATATAATATGGCCATTTTAACTATGTTGATTCTTCCAATCCATGAACATGAAATGTCTTTCCATTTCTCTGTGTCTCCTTCAATTTCTTTTAATACTGTCTTGTAGTTTTCAGTGTATAGGTCCTTCACATGCTTTGTTAAGCTTATTCCTAGGTATTTTATTCTTTTTGTTGCAATTGCAAGAGAATTGTTTATTTCATCTCTTTTTATGAAATTTCATTGTTAGTATATAGGAACACAATAGATTTTCGTACATTGATTTTGTATCCTGTATTTGTTTATTGTTTTTACTAGTTTTTTGGTGGAGTCTTTATAAGCTTGTTGATACTATTGCTAACATTCTTTTAGGAATCTAAGATCTTTATCTGTTACATCAATAATTTCTTTTTTTTAATCAGCTTTTAATTTTAATTTTATTTTAAAAGCTGCTAACCAGTAAAGGAAAAAATATGTTCCAGTCGATCCAGTCTGAAACCTAGAATTTCAAGGGTTGGTCTTAACATTTTGTGCTGGCATTGAACTCTAAATATTGGGAGTATAGGAACACACACTTGGCATATTTATGCCCTCTACCTTTGCATACTTACCATTTGTTGACAAGAATATACTTTCCACATTGAACTGCCTTGGTACCTTTTTGGGAAATCACCTAGCAAATAATGTATGGATGTGTTTCTGGACTCTTTTCACTTCTGATGATCTGTATTAATCCTTTTGAAAATACCACACTGTCTTCATGAGTGTGTGTTTACAGTAATTCTTGAAATCAAGTAATGTGAATCTTGCGACTTTGTTCTTTTTAAAAAATTATTTTGGATAGTCTAAGTCCCTTGCTCCTTTTTAGAAAGTTTTAAAAAATCAGCTTGTCCATCTCAAAAAAGCCTGCTGAGATTTTAATTTTGATTGCACTGAATCTATAGAATAGATCAATTTGAGGAGAATTAAGATCTTGATCATATTGATTCTTCTAATTCATGAACATAGTATCTCTCTTCATTTCGGTGATACGGATGGTTTTGAGGGTTTGGGATTTTATCCATTTGAGTCAAAAGGATAGTTTTGACTTACAGTTTAAAAGATTGATTCTGTCTTATTGTTGAAGATAGACTCTAATTGAGTGGTGGTGGAATCAGGAACAATATAGGAGTCTATTTCACTTATCCTAGCAAGAAATGAGGATCATGGGGTGTTAATCATTACTTTGAAGTGCCTAGATTCTGCCTTTAAGGTAGAGCGAACAATTTGAAAGTGCCAGTTTCATTCCCACAACCTTGCAAATAAGAACATCCTGTCAGGCTTTTTAAATTCTTACCAATGTGTTTAAAACATGATATCTTGATTTAGTTTTATAAGCTTTTCTCCTAAATGAGGTGGAACGTCTCTTTTTGTAATTTATTTATATTTCTTTTTTTGTTGAACTGTTTATTCTTTACCCATTTTTCTGTTGATGTGCTGATTTTAATTATTCTGTCAAGTGCATCTTTTTTAAAGTGCTTTATTGCTGTTCTAGAACTATAATTTGTTCAAAATATTTATACAGAGAAAGCACTTATGTACATCATAACGCTAGTTTTGTTTTTAATAATTATTCCGATTGATTTTCTGTATTTTTTGTATTTTTTTTTTATTATGGTGACATTGATTAACGAAATAATAAGTTTCAAGTGTACAATTCAACAGTAAGTCATATTTATATTGCATTGCATGTTCATTGCCCATAGTTAGAATTTATTCTGTCACCACATATTCCAGTGCATCCTTATAGCCCTATTTCTGTGATATAAATTGCAGTTTTCTTACTTTTTTTTTTCCTTGCTCATGATTTTTTTTTTTTTTTCGCCATAGAGACATTTGATTTTTATGTCATCAAATTTAGCAGTTTTTTCTTTTATGATTCCTGGATTTTGTCATAGCTGGGCATTTCTCATTCTAACATTATAAAAGGATTGTTCTGTGTAGTGTTCTAGAATGTTATTAATTTTATTTTTTACATTTACATCTTCAATACGTTTTAATTTTATCCTTCTCGATGGTGTGAGATTTAAATCTCTCTTTTCCCAGATGGCCACCTAGTTATCCCTGTGATATCCATGTCCAGCCTTTCCTCACTTACACCAGAATATCACCTATATTCAGATAAAAATTTACTCTGCTAATTATTCTTCTCACTACACACTGTGTTCTAGGTCTTGTTCAGTTTAAGCTTGGATGTCTTTTTGGGCTCTCATTAGTGCCCTGCTCCTTCTGCCCACTTTTTTATATTTGTTTGTGGGCAACATCGCCCAGTTTTTCCTATCTAATGCTATCTTATGCTCTCTCTTCCAGAATTTATTCAAATTTTTGGGCTGTCTGCTGTGATGTTTCTCTGTATTCCTCTTCTGTCATAGTAGGTTCTATATTTTACCTGAGTGTATTTTGGGAGGCAAGGGATATAAATGTGTGTGCTCAGCTCCCTTGAACTAGAGGAATCATTTATGCTTATAATTCTCTCTTCTCTTAATTTCTAGTTCTCTAATCTTTTTTTTTTTAACCTCCAAATAACTTCATTTTTTCTTAGCGTGACTATATATAGCAGTTTGAATAATTCAATCCTGTGAATCCTTGTGTATAGACTGAAAAAAGAATAATGAAGATATTTGCAAAATTTGTTCTGAAATTCTAATTGTTTCACACTGTTTTCTGAAGATGATGGTACAGTAGTCAGACTAAACACCAAAAAAGGAAGTTTATGTCATCCTGCCTTTAGAAACATTTTTAAAAAATATTAACTGTGATTTAAAAACAAAAGTTTGCACAATTCGAACTAATGTATCCCAAGTTGAACTGGCCAAAAAAAAGACATAAAAAGCTGAGATGTATATCTAACCTGTAAGGCTTATATTCTTAGGTCATATATCATTTAGCTACTGAAAAATTAGAAGGGTCTTAATTTCCAGATCTTTTTTGAGAAAGCAAAATTAATGCAATGCAAACCAAAACATCTAATTAATAAAACTAGGAAACCAAAGTAATTTTGTTACATAAATCAACTCATTTATTATAGGCTAGCAATGTTTCAAATTTCAGTTCCTTCGGTCTCCTGATGCCAGACTTTACTATGATGGCAGAAGTGGTGTTGTAGGTCAGGCACCATCAGAGCTCTGTTTTCACGCAGGAACCACAGTGCCAGATCCCCACAGGTCTTCTTTTCATCTTGGTTTTGCCACAGAAGGAGCAAGTGTACTTGGCGTGCTGGCTGATTTTAATTTTCTTCTCCATTTTCCTGAGAAAGGCACCATAATGGGTCCTGTATTTACTGGTGATTCTGACCTTGGTGCACTGAGCCATGTCACCACAAACTAGGTTAGAACCTAGAGAGCCCTAATCTTTCTGATTTCTCTTTCCATCATTTAGACATTCTTTCTCAGCCTTTGTAGCCTATTTTTCTACCTACCTGTTAAATTTGTTAGTCCATCACATTCTATATTTGGGTCTTCTTGGTTTCTTTGTCCTTTCTAAGCTGGGTCTTTTTCTCTGATGACTTTAATTACCATCTTAATGACTAATTTCTCCTAAATATTTTCATTTTACACTTCCCTCCTTTGTTCCAGAATTATGCACCTAACAGTGAAATAATTCCATTATCTGTGGAAATAAATAGTTCCACAGGTGTTTTGAATGCTAATGAACATCTGCCTCACTACGGCCCAGCCTTTGACTCATTCTTTCGATCTGTGTATACGGCATCAGCCTCTACCCAGTTGCTTGTGCAGCATCTCTATGTATAGCTGCACAACAAAGTAATGACTGTATTTTGTTTCCTGTAAGGATTTGTTTCCCATTCTTTATTTTTGTTGCTTTTTCTTAGTATAGTTCATCTCTTAATTTGGGTGTTTTGCTGCTTAATACATTGTCCATTATTCATAAAAGCAGTGGTTCCTAAGTAGGGTCTATTTTGCTACCCAGGAGATGTTTGGCAATGTTTGGAGATTTATTTTTTGTTGAGATATAATTGACATTCGCTGTTATATTAGTTTGAGGTGAACAACTTAATGATTATTTTTATACATTATGAAATGATAACCACAATAAGTCTTCTCTCTATAAGTCATTACGATATTATTGACTGTGTTCCCAGTGCAGTACATTACATCCGTGACTTATTTTGTAACTGGAAGTTTCTACCTCTTGATCCCTTTACCTATTTTACCTATCCTCCTCCCTTCCCTGGGAGTCACCAATTTGTTTACTATATCTGTGAGTCTGTTTCTGTTTTGTTTTGTTTGTTCATTTGTTTTGCTTTTTAGATTCCACATACAAGTGAAATCATGCAGTATTTGTCTTTCTTTGTCTCACTTATTTCACTTGTATAATATCTTCTAGGTCTATCCATGTTGAGATTTCAGTGTTTTTTATGGCCGAGTAACATTCCATTGTATTTATATATCACATCTTTTTTATCCATTCATCTATCAGTGGACACCTGGGTTGCTTCCATATCTCAGCAATTGTAAACAATGCTGCAATGAACATAGAGATGCATATATCTTTTCAAATTAAAGTTTTCATTTTCTTCATATAAATACCTAGAAGAGGTATTGCTGGCTAATATGGTAGTTTTATTTTTAAGTTTTTGATGAACTTGTATAGAGACAGTTTTAATTGTCACAACTGGAAACACTACTGGTATATGGTCAGTAGAAGACAGGGATACTGATAAATATCCTAAAATACACAGGAGAGTCTTGCCCAAAAATAGTGTTATTAGGTCCACAATGTTAGTAATGCCAAACTGAAGAAAGCCTGTTCTAGAGCATTACTCCTGAAATATAAATCTGGTGATGTGTAATACCTCCCTAGGCTTTCATGTATCTCTTCATTGTTTCCCCATTACCCCAGCAAGAACTCTAGGTTGGGGTATGTATACTCTCCAGAGTGCTCAGCATAATCCATTGGTGTATGGAAAATATATACAGGAATTCTATATTAATTAACTCTAAATAAGCAAATAAGGCACTAAGCTTTCTCATTATATTGATAATATATGTGTATAATTTAAAAATAGATATAAATAAATCAGAGCATGAGAATAATTTTTTTTTTACTAATTGTGCACATGTCCCCAAAGTATAAGACAGAGTTAGGGCTATAATAGTTATCTTTTATAGCATTTTGTTTTAAACTCAATAACAGTAAATCTATTAAGAGTTAGTTTCCAAAATTATTTTCCATGTCCCTGATTCGGGACCCTGAGATTGACTAGAAATGTGCTGTTACAGGCCTCAGTGTCATTCAAGGATGTGACTGTAGAGTTCACCCTGGAGGAGTGGCAGTACCTGAGTGCTTCTCAGAGGACCTTATACAGAGATGTGATGTTGGAGAACTACAGCCACCTCATCTCAGTGGGTGAGTGGACCTTACCATGTGACTCCTTATTGACTGCAAATTGTTTTTCTTTTTTAAATGTTAATTATTCTCATTGACTTGTATTTAGCAGAAAATAAAATTCAGCACTTTTCATTGTACCAGTCAATGAGTTTTACCATCATCAAAATCATGATTTGAAATACATCCATCCCAAAAAGATACCTTGTAGCACTTTGCAGTGAGTCCTCTCCCTCCATCCCTACCTCTCAGACCTCTAGCAATCACTGATCTGCTTTCTATTGCAATAGTTTTGCCTTTTCTCAAGTTTTATATAAATGGAATCATAAAGTATATTCTGTCTTTTGTCTGGCTTTTTTTACTTAGCATAATGCTTAGCATAAGACTCGTGCATGTGTGCATGTATCACTAGTTTGTTTTTACCACAGTTTATTATGCTTTCAGTCGTTAGACACCTGAGTTTTTTTCTAGTTTGAGGCTATCATGAGTAAAGCTGCTATGAACATGCACATACAAGTCTGTGTGTCGATATGTTCTCATTTCTCTTGTGTAAATACCAGGAAGTGAGCTTATTGGGTCTTCTGGTAAGTTTATATTTTATAAGGAACTGCCAAATGATTTCAAGTTGACTACACTGTTTCTTATGCCCATTTGCAGTGTCTGAGAGTTCTCATTGCTTTTTAGTTACCAACATTTGGTTCAATAAGTCTTATTATTTTTAACCAGTTGTAGTTGGTATCTAGTTATATTTTATTGGGTTTTAATTTGCATTTCCCTGGTGACTAACAATGTTGAACCTCTTTTCATGTACTTTTTAACCATTTATAATCTTCTTTAATGAAGTAATCAAATCTTTACTCCATTTTCTACTTAACTTTATTGGTTTTTTGTTTTTGTTTTTTTTGGAGGGGGTCCTTATTGTTGAGTGGAAGTTGTTCAGACCTTTATCAAATATATGTCTTGCACACATTTTTTTTCTCCATCTCTGGTTTGCTTTTTAAGAAAAAAAGTATTTTCAGATTGTTTTTGGTTTTTATATATACTTAAAAAACTTTTTATTTGACACAACTATAGATTCACAGGAATTAGCAATTGTATTCTTCACAAGTTTCCACCAATTGTTATATCTTATATGACTATAATATAGTCTCAACACCATTTGTTAAACTTAAGATAAGAACAGATACTACACTTGATCTTAGCCAGAAGGCCAAGAAGTGATTATCTCAATACCATTTATAAGTAGATATTGCTACAATATGTGTGAATTGCTCTATGCCATTTCATCACGTGGAGATTTCATACAACCACCACCACTGCTGTGGTATAGAATTATTCTATCACCACAAAGATTTCTCTCATGCTACTTCTTTATAATCATACCCTCCTCCCCTCCCACATTGTCCTTAATCTCTGCCAACTAATATGCCTTTCATCTCTGTAATTCTGCAATTTCACAAACATCTTATAAATGGAATCATACAATATTTGATGTGTGAGATTGAGATCCATCCAAGTTATAATGTGTATCAATAGTTTATTTCTTTTATTACTACACAATATTCTACTATGTGAATGTACTATAATTTGTTAAGCCATTCACCTATTGAAGGACATACTTGTTGTTTCTAAATTTTGGCCGTTTTTAAATAAAGCTGCTATGAACATTCGTGTTCAGGTTTTTGTGTGAGCATAATTATTTTCTCTGAAATATATGCCCAGGAGTGTGATTGTGGTTGTTTAGTAAGAATATATTTTGTTCTTTAAGAAATTGCCAAATTATTTTCCAGAGTAGCTGTAGCATTTTGTATTTCTATCAGCAGTGTATGAGAAATCCAGTTACTTCCCATCCTTCCTAGTACCTGGTATTATAACTTTTTTTTTGGATTAGTGGTTGTAATAGGAATATAGTGATAGCTCATCATGATTATTAATTTGCATTTCCTTAATGGTTAGTGATGTTAAATGTGTTCATCTTTTCATGTGCTCATATGCCATCTATATATCCTTAGACAGTAAATGTCTGTTCATGGCTTCTGTACTTTTTTCCCCATCTTTATTGAGGTATAATGACAATTAAAATTGCACATATTTAAGGTATAAGACCTGATATTTTGACATACATATACATTTTGAAATAATTGCCACAATCAAGCTAATTTACATACCCATCACCTGACATACGTTTTGAGAGGTGGTTTAAGAACCCTTAAGAGCTACTACCCTCTTGGTGAATTTCAGTACAAGCAAACTTCACTTTATTGCACTTCACAGATGTTGCATGTTTTACAAATTGAAGCCAAGGTCCTCCACAAGCAAAAAGATTGCAGCTCCCTTTATTGTCATACTCGCTTTATTGTGGTGATCTGGAACCGAACCCACAATATCTCTGAAGTATGCCTGTATGTAATACAGTATTGTTAACTCTAGTCACATTGCTGTACGTAAGAACTCCATAGCTTCTTCGCCTTATATAACTTTGTACTCCTTTACCAACATCTCCCATTCTCCATTTCCCTAGCCCTTGGAGAACCCACCATTCTACTCTCTGTTTCTATGAGTTTAACTCTTTTAGGTTCCAGTGAGATGACGCAATATTTGTCTTTCTGTGGTGGCTTATTTCACTAAGTATAATGTCCTCCAGTTTTGTCCATGTTGGGGCACATGTCAGGATTTCCTTCCTTTATATGACTGAATAATATCCATTGTATGTATACATACCATACCTTCTTTAATCATCTGTCAGTGGACATTTAGATTGTTTCTGTATCCTGGCTATTGTGAATAATGTGGCAGTGAACATGAACGTGTACATATTTCTTTGGGATTCTGATTTCATTCCCTTTGAATATGTACCCAGGAGTGATTGCTCAGTCATTAGGTAGTTCTATTTTTAGTTTTTTGAGGAACTTTCATACTGTTTTCCTTAACGGCTCTACCAATTTACATTCCTACCAACAGTGTACAAGGGTTCTATTTTCTCCATATCTTCACCAATACTTACTCTCTTTTGTCTTTTTTTTTTTTTCCCACAATTTTAGGTCTTATCTTTAAGTCTTTAATCCACTTTGAGTGGATTTTTGTGTATTATATGAATAAGAATCCAATTTCGTTCTTCTGCATATGGATATCCAGGTTTCTCAGCACCATCTATTGAAGAGATTATCCTTTCCCTCATTGTGTGTTCTTGGCACCCTTGTTGAAGACCAGTTGTGTGGATGTATTTCTGGGCTCTCTGTACTGTTCCATTGGTCTGTGTGCCTATCTTCATACCAATGCCATACTGTTTTCATTACTATAGCTTTATAATGTATTTTGAAGTCAGGAAGTGTGGTGCCTCCAGCATTGTTTTCTCCCAACATTGCTTTGGCTATCCAGGCCTTTGGTGGTTCCATATGAATTTCAAGATAGTTTTTTCTTCTTCTGTAACAGAATGCCATTGGGATTTTGGTACGGATTGCTTTGAATCTGTTGACTGCTGTGAGTAGTATGGATAATTTCACTATTCTTCAGTTTCTCTTTTCAGATATGTTAATATTTGGTATATATGCTCTGCTCTTGAGTGTGTATATATTTATAATTGTTATGTCTTCCCGTGGAACAGACCCTTTTATTGTTATATAATGACTTTCTTTGTCCTTAGAGACAATTCTGGACTTAATGTGCATTTTTTCTGATATTAGTATAATAATTACCCCTACTTTCTTTTGGTTACCATTTGCATGGAGTATCTTTTTTACATCCCTTCACTTTCCGTCTATGTGTGTCTAATTCTAAAACGAGTCTCTTGTAGATAGCATATCTCTGGGTCTTGTTTGTCTTATCAGTTCAGGTATTTTCTGCCTTTTGATTTGAGAGTTTAGTCTATTTACATTTAAAATCATTATTGATAGATGAGGACTTAATGTTGCCATGTTGTTAATTTTTTCTGTTTTGCAGTTGTTTTGTCCCTCTCTTCATATCTTTCTGTCTTGCCTCATTAATAATTTTGTAGTGATTTGCTTTGATTCTTTTATCTTTTGTGTTTCTACTGTAGACTTTTTTGTTTGTAATTAGCTTGGCTCTAGCATAAAATGTCTTGTAGTTATAACCATCTATTTTAAGCTGATAACAGTGTAACCTCAGTTGCACACAAAAACTACACTTTTAATCTTCCCCCCACACTTTGTGTTCTTACAGTTTGCTTTTAATATTACGTATCAACAAGTTTTTATTTTTTAATTTTTATATTAGGTTTAAAAGCAATTTATGTGCTACCATTACAGTATAACGTTATTCTTTATTTGTCTTTTTTACATTTATTAGTGATATTTATGCTTTCATATCCTTCTGCATGTTTAATGTGTTTTCATTTTGATTTGAAGAACTCTCCTAATTAAGCATTTCCTATAAGTCAGGTCTGTCTGGTGGTAACAAACTTCCTTTTGTTTGTTTTTGTTTGGGAAAGACTTTATCTTGTCTTCATTTGTAAAGAATAATTTTGCCAACTATAGTGTTTTGGGTTCTCAGGTGTTTTTGTTTGTTTGTTTGTTTGTTTGTTAGTGTTTTGAATATATCACGTCACTTTCTTATAGCCTACAAGGTTTTTGCTGAGAACTCTATTAATGGTATTATGGGAGTTCCATTCTATATGATGAGTCACTTTTGCTGCTTTCAAAGTTCTCTTTATCCATAACTTTTGACAATTCAATAATAATGTGTTTCAGTTTACTTTTCTTCAGGTTGATCATTTGGAGGTTCTTTTGAGCTTTATAAATCTGGATGTCCGTTTTCCTCACAAGATTTGAGTTTTTAGCCATAATTTTTTTTTTTTTTGGTGGTATAAACAACAGAAATTTATTTCTCACAGTTCTAGAGGCTGAGAAGTTCAATCAAGGTGCCATTAGATTTGGTTCCTGGTGAATGCCCTCTTCCTGGCTTGCAGATGGCTGCTTTCTCACCCATCTTCACGTAGTCTATAATTTCTTTAAATAATGTTTCTGCCCTTTTCTTTCTCTCTTCTCCCAAGACTCCCAGAACAT